GACCTGATGGCCAGGGGCGTAGCTATCGATCTGCTCCAGATGGCCAAGCGAATCGGCCCGCAGTGCGGAGCCGCCGAACACGAAGATCTGTCTGGGAAGAAAAGTCTCACCATGGACCGCGTTGTTGTTGATGATTGAAGGAGCCATCGAGCCTTGTTGTGACGACACAGAGGAACTCTCAATGAAAGCACCAATGTTGGTGTCAAAACCGGCGAATCTCGGGTAGGGGGTCCCGAACTGTGTGTCTAAAGCTAATGGTAACAGAAGGCAGGGGACATGATGTTTTACCCAGGTTCGGGCCCTCTCGATGTAGGTAATACCCTACTTCTTGCTTGATTGATCTTGATGATATGAGTATTACAAGAGTTGATCTACCACGAGATCGTAGAGGCTAAACCCTAGAAGCTAGCCTATGATTGTGATTGTTGTTGTCCTATGGACTAAACCCTCCGGTTTATATAGACACCGGAGGAGGCTAGGGTTATACAGAGTCGGTTACAAAGAAGGAGATCTAACATCTAGATCGCCAAGCTTGTCTTCCACGCAAAGGAGAGTCTCATCCGGACACGGGACGAAGTCTTGAGTCTTGTATCTTCACGGTCCAACAGTCCGGCCAAAGTATATAGTCCGGCTGTCAGATACCCCCTTATCCAGGACTCCCTCAGTCGGGATATTGCCCTGTTCCGGTAGTGACGGTAGCACAGGCTGTATTCAACCAGTTTGGATGGCGGTCGCATAGCAGGATAAGAGTCTAGGGAGGTTGTTCTTTTATTCATACCGGTTGTGGTATTGAGCTTTTTTATATGTTTCTTTATCCGTTTGCGAGTTGTAATACTTTTAAGACTTTGTGATATTTCCAGACTTTTAATAATATGACTGCATGGAGGCTGGGGGAAAGCCTCATTTTTCCAAAAAAAAGAAAAACCGTGCTGCCATAGGCCGCTGTGCACAGGGCAGGGCGGTCCGAGAGCAGCACATACACATACTCGATCAAAGCCACGGTCAGACGCGTTCACACCGCCACACTAGACGCAAGTGGCCGGTGAGGCTCATTTACATGGGGCAGGCAGGAATCAGTGCACCGAAGGATAACCATTTCGAACTTATTTCTTCTCCGCTAGCTATAGCCCATGCTCTCGTAAAGGAAGAGGACACCGAGCGAGCTCCGCCGAGCCAAGAGGCGACCCGTGCGAGACTTCGTCGTTGACCGGAGGTCTCCGGCACGCGCCGTCGTCTCCCCGGCGGCGAGCTCTGGTTGCGATCTCAGGTTCGTTGTGCCCTGGCTGTGCGTCCGGTCTCACCTCCACTATTGTGTTCTATGTTCATCTCGTCGCTTCGCGGTTTCGATCTGTTTTGAACGCACACAGAAAGAAGTTTGGATCTGACAGTGTCCTCGCGCGCAGTTCACTGTATCCATTCTGCGGTGATTAGTTGGATTTTCTTTCGTTTGTGCGGTTGGTCTGTTTATCTAAGATTGCAATGCTGCATGGCTTCGATTATTTTTTACTTACTCCTGTATAAGCGGCATGATGGGAGTATTTCATCATGCGGCCATTCATGACCACACACAACCTAGATTTATCTCAGCATTTCAGCTTAAGTACTGTACTTTTTTTGAGTGAAAAATTCCGCATACGTAGTGTATGGAGAGAAGAGAGAAGTTTGCTTTTTTTTTCTAGAACTTTTTTTTTCTAGAACTAAGAGAGTAGTTTGCTCGAGCGGCAGGAGGGAGCGGGCCGTTCGCAGCCCACCTAAACTCGTAGTACTTTTTTTTGGAGAAACAAACTCGTAGTACGTGGGAGCCCATGGATCAGTATCTTACTCCCAGGCCAGCCCATGGAGTAGTTTTGTAGTGGTATGTGAATGGGCGGGCCCATAGTACGCTCAGCCTTCCACACCCAGGCAGCCATTCATGACCGCCCACAACCTATCCATAAACCTAGATTGCTCTCAGCCCTCAAAAAAAAACTAGATTTTTTTTGCATGGTAATACGTATCTCATTTATATAGAATAAAGATCAAATTGCAAGGCACGTAAGCACCAATCATACATGACTGAAAAGATAAGAAGATCCTATGCAAAATACTAGCGCCTGTCCCTTTCCTTCGACACCACCGAAGAGGCCACCAAAGGGTAAAAGGACAGATCACCTCTTCGCCCAAGCTCGACGCGGCTCCATCGCTGATCAGCAGCTTTACAGACCTCCAAAGTAGTTTGCCAAAAGCAAAACCATAGCCGTTGAAAGAATCAGACCGGGGCAACATGTCCCCGGACACGCCATCGAACTTCAGAACTGACACCCTCGCATGACGACGACGTCGGAGAAGGAAACCAGAACTGCCCGCCTTCGACCACAGACCCAACACAAGATACTCCATCTTCCAGCTGTCACTTGCGTAGACAACCTCCTGCGCGTACTCCTGAACGACAAGACCTCCCTGCTCCACCATGACGTCGGAGACAACGCCACAGCAACGGGGACAGAGCAGAAGGAGAGACACACCTAATGGAGTCGCCGCCGCCGCCTCGTCAACACCATCCATGAACCCTAAAGCTGTCGATCTGAGGGATCGACAGAGACACGATGCCATCAACTCCGAGACGCCGTCATGAAGGACACCGCCAGTGTGGGAGTGGGATTGAAGCAGATTTATTCGTCCGGACGCCGCTCCCTCCACCCCAACGACGCACCACGACCTACAAATCCAAAACCCAACTACAGAGCGGAGGAACGGGGTCCCCCTCCCTCCTGTCGCCGGAGTAGCAGCCGAAGGGAGAGGGGGCCAGCGCACCGGCCGGTGGAGATCGGAGGAAAAAGTGCCTCGCCCTAGTCGCCTGGTGGCGGCGGGGGCTAGGGTAGGAAACGCAGCAGCCTCCTGTTAGCCGAGGAATCTGAGGAGCGAAATTTCCATATGTGTCCAGGTAAAAAAAAACTAGATTGCTCTCAGCATTTCAGCTTAGGCACTGTACTTTTTTTTGAGTGAAAAATTCAGCATACGTGAGGGTCGCCACCTCCCGGCCCGAGCCTTCAACCAGCTGCCGACCCGCCGGAGCAGATAGGGTCGTCTCCGGACTCCGGCGCCGTCGTCCCCCCTCGCCCCCCTCCCACACGGCGGCATCTGCCCGACCTGCTCTCTCTCCATGATCCTCCTCCCTCCGTGAGGCTCCACCGTGTAAGCTCGGCCTGCCTGCCTCCAGGAGCTCGCACTGATGCCGGCCGCCAGGAGCTCGGCTCCAGGGTCTCCAAGAGACATCACGGCTGGGTTCCCTCCCCGCCGAGGCGCCGACGGAGCTCCGTATTTCACCGGCGCTCCCTTCCCCGCCGGATCCGACCCCGTCCAGCCCAGCTCCGGCCTCGACCGGCTCTGCTCCGGCAACGACGTCGAGCAAGCAGCGTAGACGGCGATGGGGTGGCGTTCCGTGCAGCACCTTCACCGTGCGCATGGACGTGACTCTCGACATCTTTGCAATTAGCGACTTGTGCCGCACATTTCAGCTGACCATCTAGACGATGGTTTTCGAGGATGGCACTTCCATTTTGCGGTTAGTCCTCGTTCCCGCCTTGCAATCATATAGGAGTAGACACAGAGAGGATAGCGTGCATTGTTGATTTGCAGGTTGTAATTTTCAACAGTAGCAGTGCACTTGCAGATTTGCTTCAGGGATGTATGGTTAGGAAAACAAGCATATATGTTAAACATACTAAACTGAAGAAATTAACATGGGATGTTCAGAGATGTTGTTGAAGAATTACGTAGTGTGCTACCTAGGAACTGTATGTTTCGTGTATGATTAGCCATTGTGGAATCATATAGACACAGAGAAGAACAAGCAATTAAAGATTGATTTCCAACAAAGGCTAGTGTGCATTTGAGATTTGCAGGTTGTAGTATTCAACAGTAGTAATGCACTTGCAGATCTGCTTCATGGATGTATGGTTAGAGGCAATGATGCATACATGCTTGACACACCAATGTCTGAAGAAATTAGTGCAATGTTCTGACAATATTGCTGAAGAATTAGGTTGTGTCCTACTGAGTAATTCTGTAATTGTATGTTTCTTGTATGATTAGGCGTTGTGCAGCTTAACAATGGGTAACTACTAAACTTTGCAGTGCAATTTTACAATGAGTAACTTCTTAAGTTTATAGTGCCAGTCTTGCGTAGGTAGACCGTGTAGTGACATCTGTGCTAAACATGTGACAAATCAATCTAGTGGTGTTTTGGAAATTGTTTTCTTGCCCATATCTATGACAAAACAGTAGGAAATGACACAATATCAGCTAGTCAGAACACAATAATAGTTCAGGGTTATTATAGACTTTTCATCAAACAACCCAGACCATAAGCTCAGACAACAGAAAATGGAAAGAATGACTGCATTTGTTCAGCGGCTTTTTCCACCGCTATCAGTGTGCAGTTAAGCTTAAGCCGTCTCCTAGAGCCGAAAATAACTAGGCCTTAGTATGGCTGGTGGACATGTAGTTGGTAGCAAAAGTCCCAAATGCCCATGGGTGCTCGATGATGTTTGAGTCCTGGTTAAGCACGGTTTATTGGGTTTTGTTATGACATATAGCACAAATCCTATATTTGGCACACGTTTTTAATGGGATTTTTTATTATTATTAAGTGAAATGATGCATTGAACAATGTTTTATTGGAGTTAAAAGTTTTTAAAGATGATACAAAATTATCTAAAGGTGATTATATACAACCAAGCTGTGTTACTACACACATTAAGAAATTGCTCGTAGACACTGGAGCAGATCAGAGAACAAGAGATTGCACACTTTGAAGAAATAGTTATCACACAAAATTAACCAAAATGTTGGATCCTGCCGGCATAAGTGGGCATCCCAAGGTCAGTGTGTACCTTGATGATTTACTTTGGCGTCTACTATATATTGCTTTGTTCTTCGGTTTGCTAGCATTTTGTGTGCAAGTTCCATATTCCTATCTGTGGTTCCAGTATAAAGCTGTGACTTATGTTGCACAGGCAATGTCGACGGCATTCTTGCTGCCCGCGGTGCTCCTGGTGGCAGCGGCAGTGGCAGCCACCACGGAGGCAACCAAGAACCTCGTCGTGACTCGTGGCTGCGTGACGAGCTGCGGTGGCGTGGACATCCCCTACCCCTTCGGCATCGGCAGCGGCTGCTTCCGCAAGGGCTTCGAGATAGAGTGCATCAAGAACAGCCCTGTGCTTGCCGGCACGTCCATTCACGTGGTACACCTGTCGGGGGATCCTGCAGAGTCGCTGGTGATGCTCCCTGTTGGGTGGCGGTGCTACAACACAAGCAGCCCAGACAAGGTCGAGGCCAGCAGCCATGGTGAGACGGAGATGAACAAGCATGGTGTGTACCGCCTGTCCAACACGCACAACATGCTCGTCATCCTAGGCTGCAACACCATGGGCAACATTGGGAGCGTCAGAACCACGCGTGACGTCGACGAATACTCCTACTACATGGGGTGCATGACCTTCTGCAACTACTCGGCGACCGCGCAGGACGGCCTCTGCGCCAGTGTCGGGTGTTGCCACGTTGACATCCCGCCGGGGCTCACCCACAACTACTTCTATTTCCGTGTGTACGACCACACCGGCATGATGGACTTCAGTCCATGCGACTACGCCTTCCTCGTCGACAGGACCAACTACACCTTTCGGCGCTCTGACCTCCTCAGGGACACAAACCGGACCTCACCGGTGTGGCTGGACTGGGCCATTCGCGGCGATGATGACTCTACCTCATTATCATGCGCTGAAGCGGCCAAGGCCACGACAACGGAGTATGCCTGCGTCAGCAATCACAGCGACTGTGTCAACGCCACCAATGGGCCTGGTTACAACTGCAGATGCTCCAAAGGCTACCAGGGCAACGCCTACCTTGTCAACGGCTGCAGCAGTAAGACCGACGCTTTGCTTCGTACAACTATGATTTTCTTTATTGATCGATGTCCTAATGTGGCAATTATTATATGAATTGCACAACACAGACATAGATGAATGTGCGGATCCAGCAAAGTATCCTTGCAAAGGTGTATGCAGGGACACCGAAGGATCTTACCAATGCACCTGTGGTCCAGGTTATGGGAGCGATGACCCAAAAACTCAACGCTGCACTCCAAAGTTCCCACTTGCTGCACAGATTTGCATAGGTAACCTCACGACTTACTACATCTCAATATGTATCGGTTTTGCTAACTTGTCTCTCTATAAATATAGTCCTGTTATGTATATTTTACTATTTTGTACGATATATACTATAGTTCAGCCCCTTGTAGAGTTACCTACCTGAGTGGAAGGGTTATGTGTAGGACGTTGAGTGGGGTGATGATTATTGTTCAAGACTTGAAAAGCATGTGAAAATATATCTGAAAGAGTTTCGTTCACCTGGTAACACTATTATGTAGGATATGAGGCGCGGTGTATGTTTAGTTTTGTGAAAAGGAGGGTTAAGCGTATGCTTCGTAGCAGGGACGCGTGCATGTTAATAAGGGCCGAAGACAGGATAGATACATGAGTTAGTTGGGCTCCGGATTGACCTACAAGTTAGCTAACAACTTGATAAGATCGTATCTCAGAGTCCCAACAGAATACACAACACGCACACCTATCCACTTGTACAAATACAATACATATACGGTTTATATACTCTACTGTATATGCTTACAATGTTTAACACTCCCCCTCAATCACAACTATTCAAGTTGAGATTGCGTCTAAAGGCCTCAAGCTGCTTAAGAGTAAGAGGCTTAGTGAATCCATCTGCAACTTGATCTCCAGTAGGTATGAACCTAATATTCAATAACTTATCTGCCACCCTTTCGCGAACAAAATGATAATCTATTTCAATATGCTTAGTCCTGACATGAAAAATAGGATTAGCAGACAAATATGTGGCACCAAGATTATCACACCAAAGCGATGCAGCCTTCGGATGATAAACACCCAATTCCGTCAGTAGATTCTGAACCCAAATAATCTCTGCAGTGGCGTTGGCTAGAGCCTTATACTCAGCCTCTGTGCTTGACCTGGAAACAGTGGGTTGCTTGCGAGCACACCAAGATATCAAATTTCCTCCAAGAGATACCGCAAAGCCTCCTGTTGACCTTCTGTCATCAGGACAGCCTGCCCAATCTGCATCTGAGAAGGCACTTACTAGCATTGAATTGACTTACCAAGTTTGAGACCATGATCCTTGGTTCCTTTCGAAGTATCCTCTTGACTGCTGTCCAATGCACACTAGTAGGAGCATGTAAGAACTCACAAACTTTATTTACTGAATAAGAAATATCTGGCCTAGTCAAAGTCAAATATTGAAGTGCTCCTACAATGCTCCTATACCTGGTTACATCCTCTACTCCAAGTGCTTCTCCATCATACAAAGACAGCTTTTCAGAAGTAGACAAAGGCGTGGATGAAGGCTTACAACCTTTCATGCCTACTTTCTGAAGTATTTCTTGCACATATTTTCCTTGTGACAGCACAATTCCTTCTTTAACAGGTTTTACCTCGATTCCAAGAAAGAAGTGAAGATTTCCAAGGTCCTTAAGCGCAAACTCTTTGCCCAAGTCCTTTAGAAGGGCTTCAACAGCAGTAGGTGAAGAGCTTGTAACCACAATATCATCAACATAAATGAGCATAAAAATGGTAATCCTATGCCGATGATAAAAGAATAGTGAGGTGTCCCCCTTTGAAGGAGAGAACCCTAGAGATTGTAATTTTGACGATAGTCGAGAGTACCAAGCTCTAGGTGCCTGTTTTAATCCATACAGTGCCTTATCAAGTTTGCAAACGTGGCGTGGAAATTTTGAGCTTTCATACCCAGGGGGTTGTTTCATGAACACTTCCTCTTCTAGAACACCGTGCAAGAACGCGTTCTTTACATCTAGTTGTCGAATGCACCAGTTTCTAGACACTGCAATTGAGAGGATTAATCTGATAGTGGCTGCTTTGACTACAGGACTAAACGTGTCCTCGTAGTCAATTCCATACGTTTGCTTAAATCCTTTTGCAACCAAGCGTGCCTTATACCTGTCAATAGTACCGTCAGATTTCTGCTTGACCTTGTAGACCCACTTGCAGTCAATGATATTCCTCCCCTTGACTGGAGGCACCAAACGCCATGTTTTATTTTTCATAAGAGCATCATATTCCTCATCCATGGCCTCCTTCCACCGACGTTCCCCAAGGGCTTCTCCCAAATTTCGCGGTCCACCTCCAAAGTCGCCGCCGCCGTGGTTGTCAGGGTAGTGGGCGCCCGCGTTGTTGTTGATGTAGCCACGGGAGCCACCACTGTTGCCGCCACCCCTTGAGTTGCCGCGGCCTCCACCCCTTGCCGCCAGATTTGCGGAGTGGAGAGCGGTGTTTTGGGCGGCGATGCGAGCTTCAGCTGACAGCAGCAGAGAGAAGAGCTCGCTGAGGCTGATCGGCTGCTCGGTGGCGGTGCGGGTGGAGATGGCCGAGACGAAGCCGCTGTAGTCGGGGTCGTGGAGGAGGCCTTGCAGGATGTGATCGACGATGTCATCTTCATCCAGGGGCTTGCCTGCAGCTGCCAGCTCGTCGGCGATGCTCACCATCTTGGTGTAGTAGGCAGCAGCAGACATATCCCCCTTGCATGTGTGCTCGATGGCCGAGCGGAGCTGGATAACCCTAGCCCTTGACTGCAAGGAGAAGCTCTGCAGCAGGGCGTTCCAGATCGATGCGGCGGTGGTGTGGGAGCTGACCTGCAGTAGGACCTCACGGGAAAGCGATGAGATAAAAAACATAAGAATCTGCTGGTCTTGAGTAACCCACACAGCATGCTCAGGATTCGGCGAGGACGTGGTCTCCTTCTTGCCGGCGACGTCCTTCTCGGTGTAGAGCACGGCGGCCGGCTCCTTGATCGTGCCATCCAGATAGCCCATCAGCCCTGCCCCCTTGATCTGTGGCAGGACTTGCGCCTTCCACACAAGGAAGTTCTCCCGGGTCAATTTCTCGGTGATGGTGTGACCGAGGGAGGCGATGGAGGGTGTGGCCATGGCGACGGTTGAGGAGGAGCTCGACATCTAGATGCGATGGAAAAGGTAGGCTCTGTATACCATGTGAAAAGGAGGGTTAAGCGTATGCTTCGTAGCAGGGACGCGTGCGTGTTAATAAGGGCCGAAGCCAGGATAGATACATGAGTTAGTTGGGCTCCGGATTGACCTCCAAGTTAGCTAACAACTTGATAAGATCGTATCTCAGAGTCCCAACAGAACACACAACACGCACACCTATCCACTTGTACAAATACAATACATATACGGTTTATATACTCTACCGTATATGCTTACAATGTTTAACAAGTTTCAGTATCTTGCAATCCTTTTTATTAATGTTGGCAGCGCTTCTAAGCGGGGAGTAAACTCAAATGTTAACTTACTATCTTTTGCTGACGGAATAATAATCAGTAATTTTAGTTAGTTACGTTTGCTTCTTTGTTCATATAGGTACAATAGGTGGTACTCTTGTCATCGCATTTATGGCATTCGTCATTATTATTCGGAAAGAGAAGCAGAAGACCAAAGAGTTCTATGAGAAAAATGGTGGTCTTACCTTAGAGAAAGCTAAAGTTATAAAGCTTTTCAAAAAAGAGGAGCTCAAGCCAGTTTTAAAGAGTAGCAATTTAATTGGAAAAGGTGGCTTTGGTGAAGTTTACAAGGGGGTTGTTGATGACATACTAGTCGCAGTAAAGAAACCAATTAGTGGTAATGTGCTGGAGAACAAGCAATTTGCAAATGAAGTCATCATCCAATCCCAAGTCATCCACAAGAACATTGTTAGGCTCATAGGTTGTTGCCTAGAAGTGGATACCCCCATGCTAGTGTACGAGTTCATTTCCAAAGGAAGTTTGCACGATATTCTTCACAGGGTTGACAACAAGGAGCCTCTCAACTTGGATGTGCGTCTAAGCATTGTTGCTGAATCTGCACATGGTCTAGCTTATATGCATTCACAGGCCCATACCAAAATCCTGCACGGTGATGTTAAACCAGCAAATATACTCTTGGATGACAATTTTATGCCAAAGATCTCAGACTTTGGCATATCAAGGTTGATTGCAATAGACAAGGAACACACTGCAAATGTCATTGGTGACATGACTTATATGGACCCAGTATACCTACAAACAGGCCTATTGACTGAAAAAAGTGATGTCTACAGTTTTGGGGTTGTCATCTTAGAGGTCATTAGCAGGAAGAAGGCCACTCATTCTGACAACAACAGCTTGGTGACGAGTTTCCTGGAGTGCCACAAAGAGAAGAAGAAAGCAACCGAGTTGTTTGATAAGGAAATTGCAACCACAGGAAATTTGGAGCTTCTTGACACACTAGCAGGGATTGCTGTGGGATGTCTCAACCTTGATGTGGATCAAAGGCCATCAATGACAGACGTTGTGGCGCGCCTTCTCACATTGAATCGATCATGTATGGTGTAACTTGGTTTGCGGAGTTGAGTTTTAGCAACACGTATGAACCTTTATTGTGCATCACATTTCTTCCCATTCCAAAGTCGAAGTGCATCTTCAAGTAAGATATGCAACTTTCGATGTGTGAACCTTCCCTTATTGTATTTGCTGCTCTGAGAAGTAGGGGTTTCAGAGAACTTGTAGTACGAATGTAGCAAGTAATCGTGTGTTTTATGTGACCAAATGTATGGATTAATTAATTAAATTCATGTGTGATGTTGCGATTTGCTCTTGCTCCTGGAAACCTCAACGGGCTTGCCATGAAACAGTGCATTCCATGGCAATATCTAGGGGTGATCATAAGAATTCAGAGATCTGCTAGAGTATTCTCAAGCATGAAATTCTTTTTCTTGACCATACGTTTCCAATTCAAGGGTTCCTTGTGATTATGCACTAGAGTGATTTGCAAGGGTGTATCATGCTGTATACTGATCTGCAGACAATGAAGGTTTGTTTGTGTTTGCGTTACAACTCCAGCAAAAAGAAGTTCCTTTATTTTTGGAAGTTTTATCTGTAATTCGTTACAAGTTTGGGAAACGTGTGGTAGGAACACCCATACATTCTGTCACAATGTTGCTATTGACACTTCGTTTTCTCCCTTTTTTTGCAACTTTTTATTCTATTTTCATCACAGAAAAAGTGTCCTGGTCGGCCTTGTTTAGTTGCCCCTCCGTGCTTGAAATTCCGTCACGCATGAAGGAGTCTTCATCATTTTTTTTTAGGACGAATGGCAGGTGCTCTGCCTTTGCATTTTGCATTATAGAAAAAGAATGTACAAGAAGGTTGCCGTTAGAGAGTTTAAGGTACAAAGGGGGAAACCTCAGTCTGGTTCAGGTGGGGGTCTACAGAAGGCTACACGTAGATGCTTTAAAGTCCGAGGCAATCAAGGAAACAACCTCATCAGCAGTCGAAGAGATGTGCTTGAAGACGCGACGGTTGCGTTCATCCCAAATGTTCCACGCAAAATCCATGGCTTGCTAGGCATCTTGCTTGGGGCCAGAGCTGTGGTGAGCCCACCAACCCTGAGCAGTGAGGAAGTGCATGAAGCTTGCAGCAGCATTTTGGCTGGGGTGCAGGGTGCAGTGCAGCTTAAAACAGACTTCAGAAGTGAAGGGGCACTGTTAAAACAGGTGAGCCGCATTTTCAGCAGTCTGATCACAGAGAGAACATCTGTCGTCGAGGTCACAGACTCTGCCTCGCAGTCGATCGGTAGTGGGAAACCTGTTCTGCGCCAACAGCCAGGTGAAGAACTTCACTTTTCCTCCAGGGCAGGTCGGTTGATGGAGCCCAAGAACTGAAGGCCGTATGCCGAGGAGGCAGAGTAATGATTTGATGGTGGGGTCTTCCAGCAGATTGCATCAGGTTCATCAGTGAGGCTGACTCGCTGAATATTTTGCCAAAGGGAAAAGAAGCAGTGCAGGTCTGCAGTTGTTGTTAGACGCTGCAGCCCTCTCATCTAGTTGCCACTGGTTCGTGCAGCTGCAACCGATGCATTCCTCCTCCACGCGAGCTTGTACAGGTTGGGTGCAATGTTCATGGGGGCTGCTCCATTAAGCCAGCAGGAGGACCAACATTTGGTCGATCTTCCATTGACAAGAGTGATCGAAGTTGCAGCGTTGAACAGGGGAAGGTCAGTAGCAGAGCATGGCATTCGGGAACCAATCCAAGAGCGCGATGAAGTGGTCCAAGAGTTCCAGAGCCAACGAAGCCGAAGAAACCGGCTGAAGAACTCCAGGTTTTTGATGCCCAAGCCCCCAAATCTCTTCGGGGAACACACCTGTTTCCAATTCACTGCACAATGGATTCCAGCAGCTTCGTCCTCGCCACGCCAAAGGAACCCTCTCCGGAGCTTGTCAATGCGTTTGATCAGCCACTTAGAAGGGGCACACATTGTACTGTGTGTAGTAGGTGGTGATGGAGGTGAGCCCAGTCTTGGTCAGCAGTTTCCCTTTCCAGCCGGCCAACTTGGCAGCGATTTTATCGATGAGCAGTTGAAGATCCATACGCTTGAGCCTTCCCAAGGAGAGCGGCAAGCCAAGGTATCACATCCAATGGGAAAGACCGAGGACTCACTTGCTGAAATTAGTGCGCAGACCGGAGATTCTGCCAAACGCAGAGAGGATTGCATGTGTGACGTCCAACAAGGAGTCTTCATCATGTCAGCAGGCTGCAAGAAGCAACTCACTCATGAAGCTTCTTCTGATTCAAACAAAGGCATCTTAACACTTGCTGAGACTTGGTATTGAGCTCGACGCTCAACGCAGAAGGTACAGAGTTTGCGGATAAGCAAGCAGAAAAGGTACAGAGTTTTCTGCAGCAACAAATGAAGGAGAGGCTAGCAACCATATTCATATTCGTATCCATATCTCTATCGGGGCTATCGCTTTGCTAGAAAGCTTCTTGCGCGTGTACCCGGAAATGGATGGATACGAGTTCCAGAGGGTGGAGCTAGATGCACTGGAACGCGTCGTACGCGATGAAAGTGCGGAGCCAATGAGATTGACGTTGCCGCTTCTCAGGCACATAACCAAAGATTTCTCCGCTGAATTTGAAATTGGCAAAGATGATTCTGCAGTGGTTTACCTGGTACGACTAAACTCATATCTCGTTTGATATTAATAACCAAACCCTATCTCCTTAATTAGTATACTCCTTATGTGGTTGATGTATAGGGGGTGCTTCCAAGTGGGTTCCGTATTGCTGTCAAAAAGTTTCACTTTCGTGATTGCTTGGATAATGAAGATGCATTTGGAAATGAAGTTAATAGGGCAATGAAGGGTGATCACAGGAACAAAGTGCGACTCATAGGTTATTGTGGTCACATGCAACAGCAGATTTTCGAATACGAAGGAAAACAAGTTTTTGCAGAGGTCATAGAAAGGTTGATCTGTACGGAGTATGTGCCTAACGGAACCCTTTCTGGACATATTGAAGGTAAAATTTATACAGAAATGGATGGATACGAGTTCCAGAGGGCGGAGCTAGATGCACTAGAACACGTTGTACGCGATGAAAGTGCAGGGCCAATGAGTATGACGTTGCCGCTTCTCAGGCACATAACAAATGATTTCTCCTGTGAATCTGAAATTGGCCGAGGTGGATTTGCAGCGGTTTACCTGGTACGATTATTTAGACTCATACAGTTATGTCATTAGACATTACACAATTCATATCTCGATAATCATCATATTTTTGCCTTGATTCCTGTTGGTGGTCTTGTATAGATGAAAAATGTATTTTTTATAGTGGTCTTGTATAAGGAAATGAAGGGAGTAACTTCTTACTGTGGTCCAATGTATAGGGGGTGCTTTCAAGTGGGTTACGTATTGCTGTCAAGAGGATTTCCAATAGCCATACAGCTAAGGAGCGTTCATTTCAACGTGAAATTGAGACCACGATGAAGGCTGCTCACAAAAACACAGTGCGACTCATCGGGTACTGTTGTGACACACAGCAAATATATTTCAAAAACGGCGAAGAATATATTTTCGCAGAGATTAGAGAAAGGTTGATCTGTGTAGAGTATGGACCTAATGGAACCCTCGAAGCGCATATCTCTGGTAAGATCGACAACAGGCATGGGCCAGTGTTAATTCCCCCTCTTTATTCCTTGCTTTCTTCCGTATGTATGGTTGTTTTTCTGCGAGAAGTGCAAACGGTAAATTGGTGCATCAGAGGATTTAAAAAAAACATAGTTCTGCATCACAAAAAAAAATGAATTTTGTGTACATGCACACATACATGTAAAATACGTTCAGGGAAATTTTCATAACAATATACTTACATACGTGGAGTAGACAAAAAAAATGCATACATGAAAATGGATCTTTTTTCGTTGTTGTTGGGCCGGTATTTGTTTTGTGCAGTTTGCAAATCATAATGTTTTTGAAAGAAATTTTACAGATCTGTCGTGAGTATGTATAAGTTTTACTATTTCTTTAAAGAACTTGGAAATATTCACCACACGTGTGGTATATTCGACATTCGCCGACACACCGTGTGTGATGTGAGCAGGAGGCAGCCCACACGGGCTGTGTGTGGACGGACATTGGAATTACCCACACGTGTGGGCACGGCTACTTCGTGCCACACGCCCAACAAGTAATACTCATCTCCATCCCGCGTGTGTGGCACGAAGCAAAAATCCCCACACGTCGACTGAGGGATAATGCTGCAAAACACAAGCCCAGAAAAACATGAAAGGAAGGCACAAAAAAGACCAGCAAGTGGCTACAACATCAGGGGTCGTCGGCGAAGCAAGTCGACGTGCAGTGCCATGTGGCGCATCCAACATTTGCACCAGTAAGTCACGGTCCCGCTGCCCTAGCCAACAGGTATCAATGCTGCAAAAACAAAAGAAATTTGAAAAATGAGTCAGAGGCCCGCAAAAGGAAGATCTGCTCGATCAGCAACTTATTACACGTCGTCCAAAGCGTCCAAACCAACGCCGCAAAAACTTGTCAGAAGAGGCGCCTCTTTCTCCCGGTCTGAAACACTCTGGCTTGAAGGAAGTCGGCTAGGTCCGAAGCCTTCCAATCAGGCACGGGTGTCTAGAGGACAAAGCTCCGGAGCACGTGAGTAGGCGTGCAAGAGAAGAGGATGTGGGTCCCTATTTCTGGAACTCCACAAAGGGGACATAACCCATTATCCGGGCCATGCCTCTTAATCACCTCCGTCCCCGATGGAAGGCGATTCCTCAACAATAACCCCACAAAAATTTTGATCACCTCCGGCCAACATCGCCTTATTGTACTTGCCCTAATATATGCTCATTAGTTCTCTGAGAAATAAACAGAACTCCTCGATAATTAGCAGATAGAGGGTGAGTTAGAATTAACTCCTCCATGTGCAATGCCTATAGAAGAGAGAGGCGTGTATTGTGTAGAAGTGCATGCTCTAGCCAATGCAACCAAAAGACCGATCTGATGGAAGAGACTAGGCAGCACATTATACGTCAACACTCCCCCTCACGTGTAGCTTCCTCAGGCCTAAACGTGGACCGAAAGTGGGCTGCAATTTAATTGCACCAGCCGGATCTTAAACTCAAGACCTTTTGGCTCTGATACCATGTAGAAGTGCATGCTCTAACCAATGAAACCAAAAGACCAATCTGATGGAAGAGACTAGGCAGCACATTATATGTCAACGTATTGCACATGGGTTAATTAAACAGGACAGCAAAATTAAAACTTTTAACGCTTTTGCTAATGCTCCCGTGCCTGGAATTTTTTGTACTCTCAGTCGATTTTGTATCCAGACTGTTAGCATACTTAGGCCTCAGAGCAAGTATAATAGTGGATTTATAGCCCGATTACATGGCATTTTTGTCTATATGGACGAAAGTGATGTGAAAAAGTAAGGAAAGTGGGTTCTCATGCAAAAGCCTAGCTATATGTGTGTTTCAAGGCAAATACAGTAAATATGAAGAAATAGAAGGAGAGAAGATAGAAAAAAAATACTAGTATAGTAGCCAATCTTATAGCATGCTAGAACAATACCAGTGCGTTGCAACGAGATGTAAATATTCTAGTACGTTAGGTTGTGATTTATCTATCAATAATAATGTGATTGTGTAACTTATGTTCATCAAATTTTGACCTTGAATTACCTTATGTTTTGATTAGAAATTTGATAAGTAAATTATAGTGAAATTGGTTCAGAAGGTAAGTAAATTAAGGTGATTGATTATCATATACACAAAAGATTGGACGAAAGGGCGGTGGGAAAAAAGGTGAAATGGGAACCTTACGTTCGTTTTAAAGTAAATTATAGTGGAATTGGTTCAGAAGGTAAGTAAAGTAAGATGATTGATTATTATATACATGGAAGGTTGGACGAAGGGGTGGTGTGAAGAAAGGTGAAATGAGAACCTTACATTCTTTTTAAGTAGTAGAGATTATATGAATGACTATAGATAACATGTCAGTTTCATATAGCCAACACCTGGCTGGATGCGGATTAGGGTATCTTCAATAGTGTGTATGTTAGCTTGTTGGTAAAATATGTCATGTCATCAACCAACACCTTAACATACAACAACTCCAATGGGTGGTATCTAGTTTGCCCAATAGGATGTGAGCTAATAAATAAGGTGCTCTCTCATTCTACATTGGAGCTTGTGCATGGGTTGTTGGTTCATGTACATACAACCTTCCTCTCTTTCCTCATTTATTATATGACACATCATCAAAAATCTTATGTGGCAAAGTCTACCAACAACTATCTTATAACTATTGGAGATGCCCTTAGGAGCACTCGGCGACGCTCACCTCCGGAATCTCCGCCGCCCACCTGCTCTATTGGGATCCATGCCACTTTCATTGAAATGTTTGTTGGGTGTGAATACGCGGCCTGTGGCGTATGAGCCAACAGTACGTACCTGTTCTAAGGCATTTATTATGTCTTCACGGGACATTAAGGCTGGTCATAGTGTAGAGTAACATATACTAGTATCATGCATATGATACTTATGTATGATACTACATCTATAGTGCATAGTATCATAAAGTAGTATTATAGATGGTTTCATTTATTGCCATGCATGACACATAGTAGCATAACATTTATTATGTTACGGTATCTACCTATGTTACTACTATCCTCTCTCTCTTCTTTAATTGTCTGCCACATAAGCATGTTTGCGAGTCCCAAGTACATGATACTAGTTATGTTACCCCCACTATGGCCAGCCTAAGGCACAAAACAGTGAGTGAGCAAATTAATTCAGTCCTCTATCCTTCGTCACCTACCTTCCCGGGTCTTCGTATAGCTCGCAAATTCTCCATTCCCAGATCTGTAAAGGAGGGAACCTCTAGTTTTTTTTGAGCATCAGTACAGACACAAGCGCTCATATACACGCGCATACACTCACCCCTATGAATGCACACACGCACACCCTACCCCTATAAACACCTCCGAGAGACTGAGCCGGCATATCATCTTGAGATTTACGAAGCCACCATAGGCGCCTCGTCGTCGACGGGAACGTCTCCTCCCACTGAAAGCGCATCGCCGAAAATCCTGAAATAAATCCAAAAATAATAGGAGCACCAGGATTTGAACCCTGCTGGGTTGAGGATACCACTGTCCACCTAACCAACTTTGGCTGGTATTGTTCTAGTTCCAAACAATTTCTACAACAGAAAGAAGGATCAGAGGAGTCATATTTGGAGCTGTTGAAAAATTTAGCGGCCGGAGATGCTTCACGGCATCGATGGAAGTTAACTTCCCTTTTTATTAAAATGATTTGTTGCTTGCTTCCCTTACATTCCCAATGATTTAGTACTTCTCCGGCTGTTCATTCTCCATTTGCCATCACAAATTTTTAGCTCGGATGAAGATCTGAGAGCAGACCTGTGCGCTGCTGGCCTAGCACAGATGGCAGTGACAGATATATGCGCGCGGTCTCTACCGTAGCTGAAGCGGACGAGATCGATTCTTCTAATGCAAGCACGGAGCAGCACGTGTCTAGTAGATGGAGAACTTGGGTTAGACCGAAGGGGGATTGTTTCCAGATCGTTGACTAGGCCATGTCTGCCTCGAATGGTGCCTCGAATGACTAGGCCAATGACTATAATTCATTATACCTTTCCTTTTATGTCTTTGTTTATTTATGCTTAGTCCCTTTTTTGGCATTGATTTTTTCTAATATGTGTACATGCCACATCGTATTTGGTGTTGCAATCGTATGACATAACATATTTGTGTTAAAATCTTTAAATAGAGTACATTTTTGTAGTTGGTCGATTGAAATCATAATAATGTCATTATTTCATTCTACCTTAGAATCATTTTTATGTCTTTGTTAATGCTTACTCTGTTTCTTAGGGTCGTGGGATATTCTCATGCATGTGTGCATGTGCCAGCGTATTCATTATTGCACTATCTGACAAAATATATTTGTATTAAGATATAATATGTAATTCATTTTTTAAGTGATCTACTTGAATCATAATAATTATAAAACTTACGCTAATATATGCTTGTTCTTGCATATTGTGGAATGGTGCAAGTTCTATGAAATCTGTGGCAACATTTTGCCATCATTTATTTCAGTTTTTTTCCTTCATTTTCTTTCTGCTTTAAGATAATACCAAAGCCCTTAATTCATTCTATCTTAGAGAAAAAAATTTGTTTTTGTTTTTATTTTATTTTATTATGTCCTTGTTTATTGATGCTTAGTTGATTTTTTCCGGGCGTTGTAGTTTTTCTGTGCATGTGCCATCTTATTTGATGTTGCAATTATGTGATACACTTATTTGGCATTAGGAACTTAAAATAGAATTCACTTTTGTATGTGACCTACTGGAGTCATAATAATTATTAAAGTTACACTAATATATGCCTGTCGTTGCATATTGTGGAAGAGTGCATGTCTTGGGATTCTTTAGCAAATTATGGTTATCATTTTATTTGAGTTTTTCCCCTTCATTTCTTTCTTATTTGAGAGTCATACCAATGCCCTAAATGCTTTCTACCTTGAATAACATCCTTTGTTTCTTTTTTTCTTTGGTTCATCGTGTCTTTCTTTATTC